TTATTTATTCTTTTGTTTATTCTATTTTTTTGACCATTTAAGATTTATTAGAAAGTGCTCTTTCTGATGCTGTGGCTTCATTTTATTATTTTATACTGTGATATACCTTTTTGTTTTGTTTTAATGGCTTAAAAAAAACGAATCTGTTAGAAAGGTGAGATATTTGAAATCTGATTTGATTTCAAAGTTTTAGTTTCACTTGCACTTAACCAAACAAGTTTATTTGTCATTCTGTTAACATGGCATTGTGTCTTTGCCATTCTTAGTGTATTGGCATGTATTGCTTTGCTGCAGAAATATGTAGCAATATGTAATTCAAGTGGAATAGATGTGTCAATGAGTTTGGCTTTTTGGCAGAAGATGATGACGATGATGAGGAAGAGGAGGAGGAAGTAAGGCCCAAGAAGGGAAAGAAAAGCAAAGGAGACAAGGGGAGAGGACGAAAGAAAAGAGTGAAATATGCCGATGATTCAGATGATGATGATGATGATGATGACGATGACGTGAGTAAGAAGGAAGTAGAGTGAGAGTTATCATTGAGACCTGAAGATGACACCAAGGTTGATTGATTAAATGATTTATTACTTATGATGGTATAATGCTATTCGGAGAGCCGTGCCATTTCCAATGGGAAAGAAATCGGAGTAGGAAAGATGTTGGCTTGGCTCAGCAGTTTTAAACTGTCTTCTTATTTTAAGAGTAAAAAGAAAAGAAGAAAGACGTCTTTTAATGTAAGCTTTTTTATATTATTATTCCTTTATTGAAAATTACTGTAGCCAAAAATTAACTCAAATATCTGTGAGTAAGTGGCCCTCTTTTTTTTTCATTTATGCACCAAAGCTCACTTTGTATGTTACATCTGAGGAAAGTTTTATTTTATTTTATTACAAATTTATTTTCTCCTTGAGTAACAATTTTTTCTTGAATTTGAGACTTGGCTAATGAATTATTTTTCATTTTTTCTGTGTATTTTTTCCAGTGAAGTGATCAAGTGTCATCAGGTTGCAGATGCAAGAAAGGAGTGTGAGAAAAAAAGATTCGGGGGAAGATCTCTTTTATGGGTGAAATTGTTCAAATTTGCCATCACTTGAAGTAGACCAGTTGTATGAAGATTTATGCTCAAGAGAAAGAGAGCACATTTATCAGTTTAATTTGGTATGCAACTTGCAAGCATTAAGGTTGCCTGTGTAGAATATAATTGATTTTTTTTTTTTTTTTTTTTAAGTAAATACACCTTCGGATATTTTTTTAAGGCATGGGGACTTGCCAGTGGCATTAAAAAATGTAATAACAGATTTCATGTAGCAGAGGTATAGGTTAGAGACAACTATTGCTTCTAAAGATAGTGTCAAGAAAGTCTGGTGCAGAAATACTTTCATGATGATTAGTAAAGTTTCTGTATATTTCATGCTGTCACCGTAGACAGTCAGGGGTAATAAATAGTTTTACTGGTGTTTTTATGTTTAAATTAATTAGACTGAATAAGAGAAGGTAGAAAGGGGTGAATAAAAAGTTTAAGAAACTGATAATAAACAAAGCAGTTGTTCATCTGCTATTTTATTTTTGTATTATTAATTTTAGATACATTTTAAATTTTATTTATGTATTGCAAAATTGAAAAAATTATTGAAGGCAGATGTAAAAGCTAATAAGTAAGAGCACAAATTTATCTTCTAATTGACAGGAAAAATAAGTAAAGAATGAATTTTACAAAACAATAACAGCATTTTATGTGAAATCATTCCAGATGAGAGACTAAAGTGCATAAAGAATTATTGTATGCAGAGTGGTATTATGTAATCACTGGAAGAGGCAACTAGTTTAGTTTGATAATTGTGAATGCAAGCTGAACTTCTCAGAAAGAATGGTGAATGAGACTACCTCCAGTACAGGTTTAGGTCATTGGGAAAGGACTAGATTTATGGAGATTTTCAGAATGAATGTATGGTTGTTATTTATTTATTTCATTTCATTTTATTATTATTATATATTTTTTACTTTGTATTTGGAGAGAGTAAGCATCCATCTGTAAGTGTCATAGTTTGCATAAATTGTATAAAAGTTTGGGTTTATTTTAACTTTGCAACTGCTGAAAAAGCAGAGAATCTCTGAATTATTCAAGCTTCCATACTTTCATTCCATGTTCTGTCTGTAGAATCTTGAGATGAATGTGTTTAAGCATAAAGTATTATAATACTTTTGTTTATTAGCAAATTAGTCAACATGTCATGAAATAAAACATCAAAAAGCATTTTTTTCTCTCCTTTCTAATCCCTATCTTCAAGTGCTGCATATGGAAGAAATGTAAAAAGGCCCCAAGGATGAATATGCAATGTGTAATGTCAGGTGATTGGAACTTCAGTATCAAAAATGACCCTTAACCCATTGGATCTTGATGCTTCACTGTCATTTTGTAGCCAAAATATGGACATTAGGCTTACTTGAGGGGCCTCTGGCAAGTGTGTGGCTTGTAGGCCAGGCACACAGGAACACTATGTGGTGACAAGACTCCATGCTTCAGCTTTGCAGTGTTATTTTCTCTTTCTGTGAACATGTTTTTTTGTGCCATTTTACAATGTCTATATTTATCATTTGAGTTGCTTAATCCAGATGATAATAGACTTTTCCTGTTTACACAGACCCAATGTCATCTCTCAGTGCAGTAATAAGTAACAATTTGTTATTTGTGCAATTTTTAATCTTTTCCATATTCAATTTTGTGAAATACAACCTGAACTGCTGGTCATAGCAGGCAGGAATAGGATCCTGAGCATGGAAATAGCATCCTTTCTGGAGCCAGCACTCTTCCAGTCATGGCTCACGGATGGTACATTCCACACTCATTTAGTGATGGAAGTAATGCAAAAGCCCCTTTCTAAATGCCCATTGAGTCTAATCACCCTCCAAGAGTTTTTGCACTTGTGGTTAGTTATTTCCATCACCCTATCCTTCAGCTAAAATTCTCTTGACAGGAACTTGGCCTTCAGCCAAAATCTCCATGACTGCAAGTCCATGTCACCCTTCACTCTAGCCAATTTGTTTTTTGACATGACATCATCCAGATTGTAGGGGTTAACTTTTGGAAATATCACACATAAATCATCATTACAAAAAAACCCTATTTTGTGCGTGTGTGAGCTGTCAAGTGCGTGTAAAATTGTTGGCATTACCTTGAAATCATGTATTTGTACTTTGTTATTTTTCTTCAGAATACCAAACTTATTCAGAAGGAAGGCCAAGTTGAATTAAATTTACAAAGCCTTTTCATACATTGGTAAATTTGCAGAGCACAAGGAGAGTTGACAATAGAAGAAACTCCACACAAATATGAAAATAGCTGGCACATAGCTGTATCATCCCTTATTCTGAGTAAAGAAAATAAATGAAAACACCTACTATGTGGATATAATATATGAAGGAAAAAAGGGGTGTTCATCAAAACTATTTAATTTTATCATAGGCCAAAAGTTGCATGAAAGCTGTGCTAAAAGGATGATAAGCTAGCTTTGTGTCAGTCCTGAATGACTTTTGTACTCCATTTGCTCTTCCCTTTTTTACCCTTTTCACATTGAAGCAACCTTAAGAAACAAAAGCAAATTGTAAGACAAGTGCTGTTAAAAAGGTATAAGCTCTAGATATATTTATTTATAATTTTCTGCTGCATCAACATCGAAGGTCATTTGCGGCATATATAAAATATAGCAAAAGGTGAGGCTTGGGGGGGGGGGTGAAGCCCCAGGTAAGGAGAGGTCATACAGCACTATGATAAAGTATTGTAGTGAAAAGTTTAATAAAGAGTTAGCGATTAGGACAAAATATGTTGGATGTCAAAGGTTGTACAGTGCTGTTAGTTAGCATGGTAGTAAAAAGGGTAAAGAGGAAATAGCAAATGGAGTAGGTCTTTCATCCTCTCACACTTTAGGATGTGAACAGACAAAGGGAATGAAAAGGAGAAAGAAAAGAAAAGGAAAGGAAGAAAAGACCATGCAAAATTTGTTGAGGCAAGGGTGACCCCCACACACACACACACACAACAGCAATGACCCTGGGATTAATTAAACTTTGCTCCATTTTTTTCTTACAATAGTAAGTATATACAGAAATAGATGTAAGCCATATTTCAGTTTCTTGAGTAGACCCCTTCCACTTCCCCATTCTTATAATTATTGACATCTCTCTCCACTAGGAAATGCTATCACCATTCATTCTCTACTGTACAGTGTTCACCCCATCCTCCTCCCTTTCATCACTTAAAACCCTGTAGTCTCTCCCTGATAATAACATAATAGAGGTGTAGAAAGACCAACATAGTAATAGTAATGCTATTGTTGTCTTCTTGCCAGATGCTTTATCTTTTCACTCCTGTGTATCAAAACTACAAATAGCTTACTATAAAACATGGTATTGCATTCCACTGAATTGTTAAAGAACTTACAAAATGCTAGATGATTCAGTAAGACTTGATGTATATCAAAGGATATGAAAGCAAAAATTAAAACTGCATTTCTAAGACCCAGTGTAACTGCAGGAGCATGTGTCTGTACTTTGTATTTTTCAGTTCTGATTGTTGATACATTATCAAGGATCACTTGCTTTGCATTCTGTATGTTCAAGTTCATAATTTTATAAGATATGTGATTAAAAAAAAAAAAAAAAAAGCATCCTGATTTTACAAGTGTTTCTAAAAAATAGTTTTTTTTTTTTTTTGTAATATCTCCACCAGTTTTAGTAATTTGGAAACTTCATTCACAGAGTGGTTACTGGTTAAACAAATAAACATGCTTGATACAGCAGTATGGTAAAGTATTGTAAATCATATTAGAATCATAAAGAGACTTATTAAATTTCAAAACCTATGTTATTTTTAACACTAACAATTCAAATTCAAGTGCACAAATTTTGTAACCAACTGCAAGTATTACTAAACTCTATTGTATTTATTCATGCATGGTCATACACCTGGACTATCATGTTCAAAAGGGTAAAGATGAAAGACATGGTAAAGTATAGTATTTTTAATCAATAATTACACCTTAAAAATTAATAAAAATTGTTCTTGAAACTCAAATCCTGGGTTATTTTTAAAATATTAGCCAAGTCTGAGAGCTGGATAAATGCTTACTTAGCATTTTATTAATATAATTTTTACAGCTACCCTACAAACTTAAAATACACTTTGTATATGCATAGACAAATGTAATAAAAAATAAAACATTTTTAATTTCCTTGCACTGCAGAAAGTACTGAGGAAAAACAGTACAGTATGATTTAAATAAAAATATCTATCTCAAAATATTTTTGGTATAAATATAACACAAGCATATATCTATCATTTCAAATAAACTAAAAAATGTTCACATTAACACTAACGACGATAAACGAGGAAATCTCTTCTCTGAGTGTATTTCTCAGCAAAGCCCATTCCGCTCTCGGTGGGATCAGAAAAAGCAAATTCATCTAGAGTCAGGAAATGGCTGGTGAGAAAGTTACTTCTCATTGCATCAACCAATGTTGAGGCAATGCCCTTCCCTCTTTCTGAAGCTAATACCCAAATCCTGCTAATTCCAGCCCATACTTTGTACCGTTTTTCAGAGCAGCACACTAACTGGCCTCCCCCTCTTATAGGTGATCTCTGTGGGATCACCTTGTGTGCTTCCCTTATGGTCTCAGCAATAAGACAGCCAACAATTTTCTTCTCAAGAACATAAAAGAAGACCTTTGTGTTTTCTTTCACACGGATCCCATTTTCAGCAAAGCCCAGCTCTTGGTCAACTATCTCTCTTATCTCCTCCACTTTACGCCAGCAATGCTGAGGGTCTGTAGGTGAAACCATAATGACCCTTCCTCCATGATGATCCAAGTCCCTTACTAGCCTTTCCTTCTTCCATCCCTGAAAATTATGAAAACAGTTGCAGCAATTATTTGGATGGGAATCATTAATAACAGAAATAGTAATAATAATAATAACAATCACTACTGCCATACCAATATTTAATCACACCTTAGTATGAAAACACTCCCTCCTTTCTTACAAAATATGATTACAAAAAGATGGTAACATTAACATCAAATCATTCAGAGGAGAGAGAGAGAGAGAGAGAAAAAGAGATACACATTTCACATATATAAAAATTTAGTTAATAAAAGTACAACTTACAATATCTTAAGAGCGTGTTGAGAAAGCTATTATGATGCTCCTCATGAGAAGCTTCATCTTCAGGATTGCCAATCTCATATATAATGCCACAGACATTGCACTGCTTGGCCCCAAACTCCTTTTGTCCTGCATCAATCATCATTTGGGATCCATCACTTTTTCTCAGTGGGACCTTCTTCCCAACAGTTCTGGTGAACACAAAATCAAATAGTACAAACAGCAACAAAGAGGATATGCAATGAAAGTATATTTCACAATGTCCTTTCAAATTTATACCTAACACTACTGAAAAGTAAAAGAAAAATCCTTACTTGTTTACAGTTTTATCTGCTACAGAGACCTTGTCAGAGAGCCGACGCTTGGGATCAAATATTGAAAAGAATTTCCCTTTCTGTGGGCTGCTTTTACTGGGTGACCTTTTCAGTGCTCTGCTTGGTGATCCCTGTGGGGTGCTGCCAGAAATTGGCTTCCTTGGAGATCTTCTTGGTGTACCATTCTGTCATATATGGATTTGATTATAATTTCACTGTGTAGAAAGCTAAAACATTTCAATAACCAGCATACAACTATGTATTCTTTTTTCTTTTTTACTTCATTATAAACTACATAATATCTAGTACATATTTGCAAAAATGTATTACCATGTTGTCTTCTGGGAATCCATCTGCTGCTTTTCTTGGTGAACGACGAGGGGTGTTGACCTACAGAGAAAAGAAGGTTGAACAGCTGCTCCATGGATCAGCTACTTTAAGGAAACAAATCAAACTTCTATATTTCGAATATCAAGAATCATCACAAAATAATATATATAAGAAAAAACAAACTAGTAAGTGCATATTCATTTGTTTATATTTCTTACCTTGTTTTCTTTATCATCAACAACTGTATTCTTCCGTGGAGAGCGTCGAGTAACAATCTAAAAGAAAACCCTATTATTAGCAAGGGCTAGCATGACCTAAATAATTTGAAGAGCATCCTATAAGAAGATAAATGATGATAAAGATTACAAAAATTTAGGATATTTTAATTATAATTACTGATTAGATGTCTTTTACTTTGTTTCAAGATAAAATTGTCCATTTCCTTTATTTTCCCCCCATAACTCCTCAGCTTCTAAACAGCACTCGTAAAAATAATCTAAACCATAAAAAGCTATATAAATTTATCTTTTAACAAAAATAACAATTGCAATAACCAGTTCACCCAATTGGTTTAATAAGTGTGCGTTGCTTGTGTAAAGGTCTATCGCCAGTGAGAAGTAAATTTGTTGGTGTCGCCCTGAATGTCTCATCTAATACAATTTCTGCCTCTTTCTCTTCCCCCATCTCGCACACACCAGTGCCTGCACGCATGTGTGCACGAGAGAAAGTGAGAGACAGATGCAAAGATTGTCAAATATGATAGTTAAAAGATATTTGGTGTAAAATGTTTGAGAAATGAAAGAGGGGGGTGGGGGGGTATGAGGACAAGGAATGAACCAAGGAGGAGGGAAGTGTACCCCCCCATTAGTCTCCAATCCCTGGTAGAGGAATGTGGGTTGAGGTAAAGGAATAGGGGGATATGGAGGACAACAGACAACAGAGGGGAAAACTGCGATGTAGAATCTCCCAATGATAGTTCCTCATTGTGGGTACGGGGTGGGGTATATTTAGCTGATGTACATGATTGGTGGAAATAGGGATGGTGGGTGGAGCTACAGAATCTCAAGGGCAATATAGTCTAAAAATAGATTCAGTACAGAATATTGGACCACTGAGCAACAACCAAAATCAAATGGAATTATGATGCTAAAGTTGGTGTGAAGATATATTTCACTGGCACTTCATGACACCAGCATCAGTGTCACCATACAAAACGGGTTAATGCTAAGAACTAAAAATGCATGCACAAAGTACTTCTTTCAAAAAGGACAAAATACCTGTTCCCGCTCTGAATTTTCCTGATTTTCATCCCACTCCCGGAGGATCGACTCCATGTCCTGCAATTCTGAATTTGTAGACACATTCAAATCTGTCTGCGAGCCATTCTTCTCTGTGCGTTTTCTTGGAGATGGAGTTCTGGCTCTTTTTCGGGGGCTTACTCTCTTTTTGGGGGAAGGTGTGCTGGGAACTCTGGTTGGGACTGGCCTACTGGTGGACTGTACTGATGGTAGCAATGCCACTTGATCCAGACTGAAAAAAATTGACACAAAATTTGCCTATTAGTATGGAGTGTTGTTTCTTCTTGTTGAATGACAATAGGGTTGTTGAAATCTCCTTTTAAATTATGCTTTACCCAACAAACCTCTTGAAGCTGTAACCATAACAACCCCCCAAAACCATATTGGTATTTGCTACACACAGCCTATAACTACTATCAACCTCTCATAAATATATGTGGCACACACTGCTGTAACGAGATTAGCAACATGGTAGTTGATTTTTGAGATGCAACTAGCCTCACAATGACCATCACACATTCCCAAAAATTTAATTGATGGTGGGATTAAATACAATACTTAGGAAAAGTGAGTATACAAAGCCATTAACCCTCCTTCCTTTTATTTTCTCCTCTCCTGTCAATCTTGTTGGCCTATAACTACTATTCTAATGTTTGTTCTTTTTAATGTTTTAATTCAGTATTCAGGTTTTAAAGATAATTCACAGCATAAGCCAACTGCAGATAATCATGAAACAATAAGTACCAAAATCCAGTTGATACCTTCCCATCTTTTAAGGGTGTCATGTTACTTTCATCACTTCCCTTTCAAGTTGATTCAGAGAATTATAACCAATGATTAAGGATACAGTACTAGTATTCAAAAATTGTTAACATCTATATTACTAAAATGTTGACCTTGATAACTACAAGCATTACAGCATCAAAGTACTTACCTCTGAGTCTCAGACTGACCAATAAACTGATTTAGTTCATCTTCAACAATGCGCCCAACATTTTTCTTCTCAAATGTTCCAACACGCTGTTTCAAGGTGATATCACCATTTTTGGCAGACAACCTGTTGAAATAAAGTCATTAATGTAACATTTATACTCTGAATCCAGATATTCTTATATCCCAAATTATGTAAAAAAATTAACTACAGAGGAAAAAATGTTAAACCTTAAAACAAATTAAATTACATGAGAGCTTTTGATGATGGTAATGCATCTGTTATGTACATATTAATATAAATATGAACTATAGCAAGTGTCAAAACTTTAAATCTTGTTACTTCCTGATCATACTTTAGCCTGCAAGTAGTGAAATTTGTCCACAAAGTATCTAAATGGTTATGTTTATGTAAAAAGAAAGAATTCTTGATACAATGATAAGCAAATAAAATGAATTACACAAATCTTACTTAATGTTTTTGCCTAGCTGCACCGTGGCTGCAGCTCTAGATCGGCTGGTGAAAAACTTCTTGCTGCTACTTGGCTCCATGAGATTGAAACCAGCATCCTAAAATGTTTGAGAATGACATTATCAAATCAAAGAAACCCAAATTAATATCCATGAACTACTTTTCATACTTTTTTTTATCTACACTGACTCCATAAACTGGATTAGTTCAGATCATACTTTTATAATCATGAAAATATGTGCATCAACCATGTGAAAGTAAATCAAAAGAACTGCCAGAAGTGTATAAGTTATATCTATATATATATATTCATCCATCTATTTATCTTCCATATATATATTTAATATAGAATTACAGATTTACCACAAATCTGAAGGAAAACTCTCACCTCTTCATCCTAGTTTAAGCTATAATAAAGCAATCCCATTTTTATTTGGAAACAAGTTTTCATTTGAAAAAATCATTAATATTCCTGTGCATCAACAACTTTTAAGCAAATATAAACACTAATAACCACTTTTTGTTTTGCTTACCTCATCTTCCAGGAAAGACATGCCAGGGGACGAGAGCACATGACGTTTCTTCTGTGGACCCGAAACATTAAATAAAATGAGTCCTCCAACTATCCCAATCTATTTAGAAGATACTGCAGTAGATATGTGAACATAAAACAACAGTTCCCTCAAGATAATAATGTAGTATATGCATATACTTCTGAACTTTTAAAGTACCCTTAATTTTCAATATGTTTCCCTCTATGCAGTTTCACTTACAATTATGGAAACCTACAATTATCAAAAATAAATATTTGTAAAATATCTACATTTGTATTTGTATCAACAACAAAAGAGATCATAATTTATTTCCTTTTATGCAGTTTCACATACATTTATGCAAACCTACAATCATCAAAAATAAATATTTATAAAATATCTATGTTTGTATCAACAAAAAAGACCACAAACCACGAGTAAAAGTATGCCAGCTTCTGTATCTCTATCATTCTGTAATTGTCAGAGGGAGTCCTTTTACATATCCTTTTCTGGCAACTTTTTAGAAAATTATTAAAGACCAAAAAATGCAAGAGAGAGATGATAAGAAAGTAATTAAAACAGAGTATTATTAAAACTTCTGTAATTACCATCAAGACAACTCACCTTTTCTAGGGGGATAGGAGTTTTCACTGGGCTGCGGTCTGAGGGGAGCCTTGGTGTGAATTTTCCCTCCTTCAACCTCTTTGCAACTGTCTTTACATCTCTCTTTTTCTGAGGGGATTTACAAAACATATTCATAATCACAACTGCAAGTCATAAAGAGTAAAATCTCACAACTCCCTTTATCAAGCATACTATTAAAATGGACATGAGATTACTATATTTGAAAGGGGATCTCACACACACACTGACTCTCACTGACTATATATACTATATATATGATATATATCTATATATATATATATACATATATACACATACACACACACACACATACATACCCACAACACACAAAAGATCTACATCTTAAAGTTATCAAACTATATTCATAAACAAATATACTTAATAAAAATAAAACTACTCTGCTTTAATCACAATAAAAAATAAAATTAACCTCATACCTTTGCAGTACGGTAAAGGAAACTTTCTTACCTGTTCTTTTGCTTTTGCTTTCATTTTAGGCTTCTTTATCTTGTGTCCAACTCCTTTGTTTATACCATCTTTACGTGACTTTTGAACTCTTGGACTTTGCACTGGCAAAGGTTCAACTCGTCTGTAGGGACTTGTCACATTTTTAGGAGATTTGTAGAAACTGAAACTGAACCCTGTTAGGTGGAAAAATGCAATATGTTAAAATCTAACTGACAGTAATAAATAGCTATTAGTAATAAGGCTCTTCAATTATAAGTATTCAAACAATGCCAAAAGAAGAGACCGGACTCTTGAAGTGCAATTGAAACTAAATTACTTATATCCAATCAATCCCAAACAGATTTTGATTATATTAATGTTTTCCTTTTCAACAATGTCTAGAGTTAAATGCTAAGAATATCACATCTAACCCAGTAGCACGCACCATTACTCAGAGTGACTCCAGTGGCTTCAGTGGACCTTGGTGGAAGAGAACTGCGGGCAAAGCTAGCAGACATTGGAGACTTCTTGAAATGGCGTTCTCCCTCCAAAATCCCCCAAAGAGTTCTTGATTGGTCGAGTACTTAATCGCGGGGAGCGGTCAAGCACCAAAGTCAGCACAATGGGAGACCACACCGGAAGGACTTAGACTCCAATAAATAAAATAAATAATAATAATAAGAATAGCAGAGAAGAAGAAAGAAGAAAGAAGAAGAAAGAAGAACAAAACAACTAACAACAACAACAACAACAAACACAACAGTATAATAATAGGTCTATATTAAACAAGAGTTGTTAATATTAAATAACAAATTAATAACAGATGATACTGAATCAAACTAGATTACGACACTACGACTATAATGAAAAGAAAGAAAAAAAAACAAGAAAGAACAGATTGAAACCTTCCATGGATACATACAATGTTAAAGTAGTGAAATCATACGGGGAGTGTGGTGAGTGGAATGAAGAGTGGGTTAATTTTTTTTTAGGTTTATAACCACATAATCAAGCCGCAAAAGCAACCCAATTAAACAAGTTAATTATCTAATGATTCTATTGGCCAAAGAAGCAACAGAATAATAATATCAAATTTATTGAAAAGGTAGGTAACATGCCAGGCAGCGTACTTTCAAATAAACCACATGGTACACCTTTGTTACCCAATCCCTCTTTAACAAGTTATGAATCAGCATTATTAACCCCAAGTATGATAATATTACAAGAATCCCTTAAAAAAATGAAATACACCCTCCATTAACAGAATCATATGGACACAAAATCTTAATAAAACCAATCCAATAAAATTAACCTTTGGCAAGGGGGAAGGGAGACGACGAGAAGAGAGGGAAAGATGGAGGAGAAGACAGGGATCGAGCGGTTCGAAGAGAGCGAGGGGTCGGAAGGGCGGGGAGGAGAGAGAGAGGGATGGGGGCAGAGAGATGGGGGATGGGGAGGCAGGAGAGGGAAATAGAGAGAAGAGTGAAAAGAGGGGTGGGAGAGGAGAGAGGAAAAATGGGAGAGAATGAGAGGGGAGATGCGGCGAGATGAGGGCGGTGAGAGAAGAGAAGAGAGGAGGAGAGAACTAAAGAGAGAAGAGAAGTAAGAGAAGCGAGGAAGAGGGAAGAGAGAGGCCCGGAAGAAGAAAGAAAAGAAAAAAGAGAGAAGCGAACAGCGAAAGAAAGAGAGACGAAAGAAAGAGGGGAGGAGGAGAGGAGAGGAGAGATGAGAGAAGAGAGAGGGGGGGAAGGGAGGATCAGGAAAAACAAGAAAGGGAAAGTATATGGAGGGAACAAGAAGGAGAGAGAGAGGTTGAGGAGAGAGAGGTGTAAAGAAGGGAAAAAAAACCTGCGGGGGGCGAGAAGTTGAGAGAAGGAGGAAGACAGATTGAGAGAGAGGAGAGGAAAGGGAGGGAGTAGAAGTAAGAAGAAAATGTAGGGACTGGATAAAAGAGAGAGAGAAGAAGCAGAGAAGGAGACAAGGCAGAGAGAAGAGATATATGAGGGAGAGGAGGAGAGAGAGAGAGCGAAGAGAGACACGAGAGAGCGAGATACAAGGAGGAGAGGAGAGGAGAAGAGAGAAGAAAGAGAGAGAGGATATCCTGAGAGACGAGAGGAGAGAGAGAGAGGAGAGAGGAGAGGGTGAGACGAGAGAGAGGGAAGAAGAGAAGATGAGGAGGAGAGAGAGAAGAGAGAGAGAGAAGAGAGAGGAGAGAAGAAGAGGAGAGAGAGAGAGAGAGAGAGAGGGAAAGAGAGAGGAGAAGGAAGGAGAGAGAGAGACCCGAGAGAGAGAGAGGAAGAGGAAGAGATGTAGGACGAGAGAGAGGAAGAGAGGAGAGATGAAGAGAGAGAGGGAGGAGAGAGAGGGAGATGTAGAGAGGGGAGGAGAGAGCAGAGAGAGGGAAGAGGATTGAGAACAAAGGGAGAGGAGAGGGAAGGAGCGAGAGATGAGAGGAAGGATGAGGGGAAAGGAGCGAGGAATAGAGAGGATAGAGGGAAAGGAGGAGAGGAGAGAGGGATAAGACGGGAAGGAGGACAGGAGGAGAGAGGATCAAGAGGGAAAGGGAGAGAGAGAGCAGAGAGGTAGTCGAGAGAGAGAGAGAGAGGAGAGAGGGAAGGAGGAGAGACAGAGAGGCGATACGCAGGGAAGGAGGAGAGAGAGCAGAGATAGCAGGAGGAGGAGGAAGAGGAGAAAGAGAGAAAGAGGAGAGGGAGAGAGGGAGAGAGAGAGGGAAGGAGGAGAGAGGAGAAAGCAAGTGAGGGACGCACGAGAGAGGGAAGGAGGAGAGAAAGAAGGGAACGAGGGCAGCGAGAGAAAGAGGGAAGCAGAGGAGAATAGAGAGAGGATGATGAGAGGAGACGATGAGAGAGAGACTGGACGAGAGAGAGACGAGTGAGAGAGATAGAGAGAGAGAGAGAGAGAAGAGAGGATGAGAGAAGCAGAGAGAGACTGAAGAGAGATAGAGGATGAGGGCAGAGAAGAGAGAGGAGAAGAAGCAGGAGAGAGAGGGTAGGAGGATAGAGAGAGGAGCAGTGAGAGAGAAGGAGAGAAAGAGAAAGAGAGAGGGTAGGAGGATTAGGAGAGGAGAGAAGAGAGAGAGAGGGTAGGAGGAGAGAGGAGAGAAGAGATGAGGAGAGAAGAGAGAGAGAGGGTAGAGGAGAAGAAGAGGAGCAGAAGAGAGAGGGTTAGGAGGACGAGAGGAGAGAAGGAGAGAGGAGAGAGAAAGAGAGATGAGGTAGGAGAGAGACAGTTAACAGGGAGACAGGAGAAGAGCAGAAAACGCTAGAAGAGAAGGGAAGGAGGAGAGAGAGGAGAGAGAGAGGGAAGGAGGAGAGGAGGCAGAGAGCAGAGGAGGCAGGAGAGAAGAGAAGAGAGAGGGTAGGATGAGAGAGGCAGGAGAGAAGAAGAGAGAGATGGTGAGGCAGGGAGAGACGGAGACAGGAGAACAGGAGTTAGAGCCAATGAGTAGGAGAGACAGCAGAATGAGGAGGACGAAGAGGAGAGAGAGGAGAGAGAAGAGGGAAAGAGGAGAGAGATGGGAACAGAGAGAGAGAAGAGAGAGAGAGAGAGGGAGAGAGAAGAGAGAGCAGAGGAGAGAGAGGAAGGAGGACGAGGAGAGGAGAGAGAGCAGGAAGGAGCGAGAGAGAGGAGAGAAGAGGGAAGGAGGAGAGGAGAGGAGAGAGAAGAGAGGAAGGAGGAGAGAGAGAGGGGAGGAGAGAGAGAGGAGAGGAGGAAGAAGAGAGAGAGAAGGGTAGGAGGAGAGACAGAGACAGAGGAGAGAGGAGAGAGAGAGAGAGAGAAAGTAGGAAAGACAGAGAGGGAATAGGAGGGGGGAGAGAGAGAGGAAAAAAGAGAGAAATAAAATAAGTATAGCTGTAGTGGGTACAGGATGGCTTACCCCTCCGTCTAGGGGATAACTAGAAGGTAGGGAAGGTTAGGCTGGGTTTTTGAGTTTGCACGATACCCTAGTTTTGGAGAGTGCGTCGCTCTCAGTAACAATTAGTTGCCTGTATGAAAACTATAAAAAATATTTTCATAACGGGCTCTGAGACAACTTGCGTGTCCAATAACTTATACTGAATTGCGGTTGAAGTTCATAGAAAAGTTTCTTAGAATCACTCGCTCTACCGTTTACATACATCATTTTTCCTCTAAACGAAGGCTGTATGGAACTGGATTTGTACCAAAATATACATATATAAGATAAACGACAACAACTTTAGCAACTCATACGGAGTAAAATTAACAGAATTTCAACTGAATCTTTATATTATGTCTTAAAAAAAAAAATAATAAAAATAATAAAAATAAAAAATAAAAATAAATCGTATGTGGTTATTTTTCCGATTATCAAAATATCACAATTTAAAGCAAATAAGGAGAAAAGAATAGATTACGCCTGCCTGTATGGTTGTCAATTAACGGGGAAAAAATTGGGTAGAAACTTGAATAAAAAAATAAAAAAATGGTTACATCACTTTTTCCGATTTATCTGAGCGGGAACTTTCTTCTCTCTTCTTCTGTACGATTAAATTGATGCTAAGCTCCACGAGACATGAATTTGAAAGCCTTTAGCTGCTACTCCTATTCGTGCCGCCATTATCAACTTTATTTATTCGTTTTTTTCATTTTCTCCAAAAATTCTCCTGCGATCTCTTGTCAAAAACCTCGGGCGCGGCAAAACAAATCTCATTTTCCTTCCCTTTCGATCTTTCTCTCCCCTA